CGCATTTTATTGACGCATTTTCCATTGAATTGCAGTATCCGTATAGCGGAACAGCGAATCAAAGAACTCTACGCGAAGCAAGGTTATATGGAGCAGTATAAAACTCCAGAAGAGCGTGATAAGGTCTTTTTCACTTATTTTCCCCCGTTGCTACATTAAAATACTGAAGCATTTGTGTTATGGCTGTATTTCACGCCCAAATAGAAGCAATTTAGGTTCTGGAAAAAGAAATTCGATTCTATGAACATCAGGTTTTGGACATCCGTGAACAAATCACTGGCATCGAGGCAAGCCTCGTGGAGGAAGAGAAAGAGGAGGGACAGCTTCACCAAAGAATTATGGTACATTTTATGCTGGGAAATAATTTTTTACATTGGTTTATTAGCAGATAATTTTTTTCTTTTTGCGTTTTCGCTTCAAAGTACAAAATTGTAAAATTATGAAATGCTAAAAAAAATTGTAAAATTATGAAATGCAAAATTGTAAAATTTTGAAACCTCGTCGAAAGTACGAAGAGAAAAGAGAGGAAGATTGAGAAAGACGCAAGAAAAGAAAGGAAAGGGCTGTGATTGTGGAATTAGGGCGGTAAGAATGGGGTGAAGGAGGAATAGATAAAAGAGAAAACAAGGTTTAAAAATGATAAAGCGACTGCATATCACAAGCAAGCATGAGCTCATGCAAGTCAATAACTAACTCTTTCAAATTATACAGCTTTCTTTTTTCCTCAGGACATTGGATTAAGCGCTGAAGAATTTGTTGATAAACTAACAAAAATGAATCAAGATATGACCGATTTACGACGTAAATTGAACGAAGCAATGGTTGTGGAAAGGTAAAAAGTTTACAGTGTTAATATGAATAGATTGTATAATATATCGAATAATGATTAATGGTTTTTTGTTAAAAGTAGGTTAAAGAACAATTGCATTGCTATGATGCAACAACCCCTGTCCCTAGTTCATACTTTGACCACCCTATCCTCATTGAACTTCCGATCTTTGTCCCCTGGGGTATAAAAGCAATTCTCCCCATCGCCGGGATCGCCACTACCTATCTATCACTGCGATCTATTTCTATTTAACTAATACTCCTATTCTGGGGAGCTTCGGCTCCCCAGAACCTTACCACGTTTATTTGTATTCTCGCTTCGGCATGTATCCTCGCTTTATTATAAATATGTATATAGGATGCGACGTCTTATACATACAAACGGGGCACACACTAGTCTAATAAGCTAACAGTTAGGGTCGCGATAAAATAATAGACTTCTCGGCACTGCTTTTTATTATTATTATTTACTGCTGCAACAAGCATTTGTAGTGATGCACTGAGAGAGGAGAAAAATGCCCGTGCGAATATGGATGCCGTGAAAGTGGACGTGCAGCATGCGGAGCAAGACATTCGACGACTCGTTCCTAAAGTAAGCGAAATTTGGAAGTATACCGCAAAGAGCCAGTTAATTTCAGTACTTTTTTAATATTTCAAAAATTTAATTTTTTTTCAAAATTTCTAGCCAAAAAAATTCAGAATTAAATTCAAAATCGAATTCGAAAAATTCCGAAGAAATTTCAAAAATTTTGAAATTTTAAAAATAAGCCTATACTTTAAAAAAAAAAATAAAAACAATTACGTCGAACTTTTCTTAAAATAATCAAATCGGTGGAGATTTATTAGCTATGAGAACAATGGAAATATACTAAATCTGCTGAAAAATGGGGGAAATTCAAACAGGGGAAAAGCCAATTAATACTTTTTAAAAAAAAATAAAAATAATCACATCGATTTTTTCTTAAAATAATCACGTCGGTGGGGATTTTTTATCACTTACGCGAACAATGGAGATATAACAAATTTGCTGGAAAACGGAAGAAATTCAGACACTGTTTTCTGACAACTTTTTCAAAATTTCCACTCAAACCTTAATTTATTTTGTTTTTTCTAGTCAATTATGAATGGAGTGGACAGCGTGCGCCATGTGCTGGATTATTTTCGCTCTCAGAACGCTAATGGACAACATAATGCTGTTTTGGAGGGCTATCGTGGTACCAGTTATTTACTTTAAAATAAATTATAAAAGCTCTCATGAGAGTCTCAAAAAAACCGAGAAATTAGAACTTGAAAATATGCGATATAAACGGCACAACTCAGTAAATAGGTGTGCTTATTAGTTTACGTTCAA